GGCGGGGCCACCTCCGCCCAGATCGAGATGAACAAGAAGCGCGAGGCTGAGTTCCAGAAAATGCGCAGGGACCTGGAGGAGGCCACCCTGCAGCACGAAGCCACGGCGGCCACCCTGAGAAAGAAGCACGCGGACAGCGTGGCCGAGCTCGGGGAGCAGATAGACAACCTGCAGAGGGTCAAGCAGAAGCTGGAGAAGGAGAAGAGCGAGCTGAAGATGGAGATCGATGACCTCGCCAGTAACATGGAGACTGTCTCCAAAGCCAAGGTTTTTGTGAACTTGTCCCCTTTTCATTTTATTTGCAACGATTCAAAATTACAGAGTTTATACATGAATATATCTAATCTAACTGTACAAACTTTAAATGTTATCTCATTTTTTAAATTTAAATTCATTAATTAACATATAATGCATTATTAGTTTCAGAGGTAGGTCAGTGATTCATCAGTTGCATATAACACCCAGTGCTCATTACATCACATGCCCTCTTTAATGCCCGTCACCCAGGTACCTCATCCCTCCACCCCCCTCCCCTCCAGCAACCCTGTTTATTTCCTATGATTAAGACTCTTGTGGTTTGCCTCCCTCTCTGGTTTCATCTTGTTTTATTTTTCCCTCCCTTCCCCCATGATCCTCTGTTTTGTTTCTTAAATTCCACATAGGAGTGAGATCATATGGTAATTGTCTTTCTCTGACTGACTTATTTCTCTTGGCATAATACCCTCTAGTTCCATCCACGTCATTGCAAATGGCAAGATTTCATTTTTTTGATGGTTGAGTAGTATTCCATTGTGTGTGTGTGTGTGTGTGTGTGTATACACCACATCTTTATCCATTCATCTGTCAATGGATATTTGGGCTCTTTCCATAGTTTGGCTATTGTGGATACTGCTGCTATGTTATCTCACTTTAAAATTATTCCTGTTATGCCTATTAGGCATCACCATATTGAAATGAATCATTGCAGTCTTCCTACTTGACTTGTAGAAATCACGTTAACTTTTATCCCTATGACTATGAAAGAATGCAATTTCAGAAAAAAAATTATCTAAAAACCATACTCCACATGATGCAGAATTTAAATGATGTTCATGTTTGCAAAGACAATAATCCAGTTTTCATAACCATTTATTTGTTCATGTAGCCCAAATTATGTGTCTCTATATCCAGGGCACTGTGGTGAGCTTCGGAGTGGCTAGAAAAGTAAATACAGCTCAGCTCCTTTCCACAAGTAGTTATCTCCAAATGCAGACTTACAAATAAAAATGTATCATCTTCTCCTGTTTTCTATTTCCCACCACAGGGAAACCTCGAGAAAACGTGCCGCACCCTGGAGGACCAGCTTAGCGAAGTGAAAACGAAGGAAGAGGAACAACAACGCCTCATCAATGAGTTGTCAGCCCAGAAGGCTCGTTTACACACAGAATCAGGTCAGTGGGCACACAGAGCCAACACACAGAGAGCCAAAGAACGAAAGGCAAGCCTCCACTTGTGAACACCTCTTAACACCCATCATTTCTTAAGCCACACATGCCCATTTATCATTCGTCATTCTTTCTTCTTTTTATTGAGAGAAGGTAAAAAGGGATGATTATAAGCTATAACTGGAAGAAAATTAAGCTCCCTGGGCTGAGGAAATTTTTTGCTGCCTCAGCATAAGAAAGAAAAGAAGAAAAGAAAGAAAGAAAAGAAAGAAAGAAAGAAAGAAAGAAAGAAAGAAAAAAGAAAGACAGGCCTTAAAATTCAAAGAAAGCTCACATTTTTTTTAATTTATTTATTTATTTGACACAGAGATAGCGAGAGCAGGAACACAAGCAGGGGGAGTGGGAGAGGGAGAAGCAGGCTTCCTGCTGAGCAGAGAGCCCAATGGGGGACCGATCCCAGGACCCCGGGATCATGACCGGAGCCGAAGACAGACGCTTAACAACTGAGCCACCCAGGTGCCCCAAAAGCTCACATTTTTGAAAAAGCAAGAAATAACCTTCTCAACCACATCAAAGTTTTTGAGCTATTCTTTTCATCATGGAGTAAAAAGAGTTCTAATGTTATCGTATTCTTTAAATTAGTCATCTAGATGGCAGAACTAAATCATTCACGTTTTGTCTTTCACAGGTGAATCTTCACGACAGCTAGATGAGAAAGAAGCTCTGGTGTCTCAGCTATCACGAGGCAAACAAGCATTTACACAACAGATTGAGGAATTAAAGAGGCAGCTGGAAGAGGAGTCTAAGGTGAGAATTCTCTAATTGAGACTTTCAATCACTTGAACTTTGTAGCGTGACACACTATTGAACTTCACTTACAGAATATCAATGACCAGAACATAAATGTACAATGCACACTTTTTGGTTGGTCCAGGCCAAGAACGCCCTGGCCCACGCCCTGCAGTCTTCCCGCCATGACTGTGACCTGCTGCGGGAACAGTATGAGGAGGAGCAGGAGGGCAAGGCTGAGCTGCAGAGGGCGCTGTCCAAGGCCAACAGCGAGGTGGCCCAGTGGAGGACCAAATACGAGACGGACGCCATCCAGCGCACAGAGGAGCTAGAGGAGGCCAAGTATGGGCTCTTAATGATAGAGGCAGAAAGAAAAGTTTAAGGGCAGTGAAGGAAAAATAATAAAAAAATAATAATATTTCAGGCATGAAGATAGGAGGAATATTTCAGCCTATCTGATTATACAGTGGTGGAAACCACCATCTTCTCCTTACAGACCAGTCACCTCCACTGAAGAATGGGCCAAGACCACAGCTCTCCCCACATTTTGGTCTATTACAAAAATATCTTAAATTTCTTTCCACCAAAATGAATTAAAATTATCAGCATACCCTTTATGAATTAAGTAGAATTAATTTCCTTCAATATAAGGAAAAATGGAGATAGTGGTATATTATTATGAATATTATAATTAACAATAATCAGTTTATCCCTATCTAGAAGTTCAAAATAAGACTATCATACTCTGTCATTTAACTAACAACCAGTATCAATAAACTGATTCACTAATTACACACACTTCTTATGGAATACAACTCATGGGAGTGACACATGGAAGGGAAATAATCATTATGTTCCCAGTGAAGGAAGCTTCTCTAAATTGCATTTATGTCAGTAGTTGCTAGAATTAAACAGAATGAGGAGGTTTGGCGAGCATTTGCAGAGGGAACACTCCAGTGTGAGCTGGTGAAGGAAGCAGTAAGACTTTGGAGGGTATTTGGGAAATATAATTCTGGAATAACATTTGCTGTCTGGGGCATCAGACCCAGAAAGTTAGTGATTAATCATAATCATATGACCTCGTATGCATCACTTTGGGCCGCAGTTTCATTTATGAAGAGGACCATGTTAAAAAATGCTTAACGACACTATCCAGTGCTAGCATGCTTTGACAATACGCCTCCGGTTCACGGCTGTCACGTGCTGCTCCCTCAGGTGATGCAGGGAGGGCTATGGTCTTGGCACATTCTTCAGTGGACCTGACTGTCTGCAAGGAGAAGATGGTGGTTTCCACCACTGTATAATCAGATAGGCTCATTCATTCTCTCTCTCTCATAATGCATACACCACCGCCACCACGCATACAAAAAGACCTCATGAATATGTTTAACAACCCCTGACATAAAGATAAGAATTCACTAGGGAAAATGGGTACTGATAAGACATTTTAGAAAACCTAAACAATTTGTGGACAGAGAAGCAAAGAATCTTGCGGAAGATATGCTTTCCTAGTCAGCAGCTTTATAAAGTTCACTGTCATAGCTCTGAATCTGCTCTTGGTCACTCGCACTGACCAACATTTCAGGAAGAAGCTGGCCCAGCGTCTGCAGGATGCTGAGGAACATGTGGAGGCCGTGAATTCCAAATGTGCTTCTCTAGAAAAGACGAAGCAGCGGCTCCAGAATGAGGTGGAGGACCTCATGCTGGACGTGGAGAGATCTAACACCGCCTGCGCCGCCCTGGACAAGAAGCAGAGGAACTTTGACAAGGTGGCCCACAATGTCTGGCTTCCTGGGGGAAAGTGGCCTGATTCCTGATCACAGAGGCTTAGTTCTGATGTACTTCCAGGTCCTGGCAGAGCGGAAACAGAAGTATGAGGAAACTCAGGCTGAACTTGAGGCCTCCCAGAAGGAGGCCCGCACACTCAGCACTGAGCTGTTCAAGGTCAAGAATGCCTATGAGGAATCCCTGGATCACCTTGAAACCCTGAAGCGAGAGAACAAGAACTTACAGCGTGAGTCTTTGTAACCATTCTACTTCAAAAGTGGTGGGGAGACATCTTTTCAAGTTTTCATTTTTCTCAACTGAATGTGATATTTTATTATTAACTATAGAGGAGATTTCAGACCTGACAGAGCAGATTGCAGAGGGGGGAAAGCATATCCATGAATTGGAGAAAGTGAAGAAACAGATAGATCAAGAGAAGAGTGAACTGCAGGCTGCTCTGGAGGAAGCAGAGGTACATGTTCCATTTGCCCAATTATGCATTATAAACAAACTGAAAAATTAATACCGACTGAGAGCAGCTATCATGCTGCAAAGCTACTGGGGATAACTCCTTAATTCAGTGAGAAATACTGCATTGTTCCTTGGGAAGGCAGAACGAAGAGGCTAAATTAAGATGTATGAAAGTTTGTGGTTTTCTGAATGCCTTCTTCAAGAAAGCATCACATTGTGCAAAACAAACAACAAGCTCTCTAGGTGACTACCAGGAAAACACCATCAAAAGACGTGACTGCGGACTGACTGTTCCCCTATCCTAGGAATGTGGGTTCCGCTTGCCCTTCCTGCTCCCAGAGGCTGCTCCAAAGACATAGCCTTGAGACAGTGGTTTGGTGTTAAGAGCACCTACATGGTATATGTGACTAAATCTACCTAGGGTCTCTTTGTAAACTTTTAAAATTTGGTGGGCAGATGTGGGATCCATTCATCTTCCCGCCACCCAAAACTAGCCTCTCACGTAAGTTCCCTTTGCTATTATTAAGCTGCCACCACCAAGCTGGAATGGCCTGCCTCTTCCTTTGGTCTTCTCACTGCCCTCCAAGTACAGGGGCCAGTTTCAGATTACACCAGGAAGATCCCAAGAGGATCAAAAGCCAAGAGTAACCTAAGTGTTGCTTTTTAAAAAGGGATCTCTTGAGCACGAAGAAGGCAAAATCCTTCGCATCCAGCTTGAGTTAAACCAGGTGAAATCTGAGATTGACCGGAAAATTGCTGAAAAAGATGAAGAAATCGATCAGCTAAAGAGAAACCACATCAGGGTGGTGGAGTCAATGCAGAGCACCCTGGATGCTGAGATCAGGAGCAGGAATGATGCCCTAAGGATCAAGAAGAAGATGGAGGGAGACCTCAATGAGATGGAAATCCAGCTGAACCATGCCAACCGCCAGGCTGCAGAGACAATAAAGAATCTTAGAAACACACAAGGAATACTGAAGGTACACCGGGATAAACACACATGGTGTCATGCAGTCTGGGTGTTAACTGTAATTTATATGCCATAAATCTAAATAACATGGTAATCAGTTGAAAATTATACATACACAGCCAAAGAACAGCTTACATCTGGAAAGTCTAAAAGTTCACCTTGTCAACTGAAGACACTGCACAAATCACTTCATTTATATGAAATTCATTTGTATGATATATATAAATATATATACATACATTTTTAAATATACATATCTATACTTGTTTAATATATGTAAAACAACATCATTAGACCAGCTCATCTCTGAGGATGCTTTCTTGATCCAGTATTTTATAGCTTTAGCCATGGTTATTTTTTTATGATTTAAAATCTAAAATATAACATCCTGTTCTTTTGAGGAGACCTACTATCCTAGGCTACAAAGAATTTGTCTTTAAAGGGACTTGCAGATTTTCCCTCCCTAATCATACTCTAAGTTATTGAGAACAAAGTGTGTACATGACCGAAATGTGTACTCGCTTTAATGGAAGCATGAGTAAGAGTCTTTGCCTCTTTCTGTGTAGGACACTCAGCTACATTTGGACGATGCCATCAGAGGCCAAGATGACCTTAAAGAACAGCTGGCCATGGTGGAGCGCAGAGCCAACCTGCTGCACGCTGAGACTGAAGAGCTAAGGGCATCCTTGGAGCAGACCGAGAGGAGCAGGAAGGTGGCAGAGCAAGAGCTTCTGGATGCCAGTGAGCGTGTGCAACTCTTGCACACCCAGGTGAGGTTCAGGACTCTGGTTGAGCAAATGGATTCCCTGAAGTTGAAGATAATTTGAGGGGAAAACCTTGGCAAGGATCCCTTCCTGAAGTTCTGGAAAATGTGTATTACTAAGAAGTACTAGGGTCTAGCCAGTTCACGGGTATATTTATGGGCTGACATAATCATGTTGATGTGAAAAAATTTAGAGTTCTAGAAACTTTTTTTAAAAAGCAGAAGGCCTTCTATTAATAACCATATATGTGACATTAGTGGCCATCTTGTCTTTTGCAACTCTAAGCTACAAATCAATAAGCAAGTAAACAGAGGAAAAAGAATAAGCCACCAAGTTATTTTTATGTATCGTGTATGCACATGAAGCTAACTACATGAAAGAAGCTCTTCAATTCAAATTCACAGAGGCCATCATTACTGCTACTCAGCATTTGTTGTTTATAATGCATGTGCTAAAATAAATGGCGGTGTAGCCTCACAAGGCTAATAAGCACCCATTATAGTATGCACTTATTGCCATGAAAAGATGTTCATAATACATGAAAAGCGCAACTTAAAAATAATATATAAAGCATGATCATTTTTGTTGAAAATATATAGGAAACATCCAGAAGGATAAACAAAGTGTTATCAATGGTTATCTCTGTGTACTGAGAGTACAATAATTATTCCTTACCTCTTATTTTGTTAATTTGTATATTCTATTTTTTACAATAAACATACATTATTACATACTTTTTAAAAATTGCAATATAAGGAAATAGCCATCATGGAAATGTTAAAATCACATACTACAAACACTTTTAAATTCAAATTAAAATACATTTTTCTTACTCATTTTTAGTACCCTTGAATTAAATATTTCATACTATCAACTTTCCAAAACATAACATATTCTTGGTTCATTTTTGTACTGATAATGATGCTACTTACGCTCTTTAAATATAAAGCTAACCAAACATGAATGAACTAAAAATTAATAATCCATTTTCCATGAGCTGTGTGGCGCTACATGGTACAGCACTTTAAATTTTTTGGGGGGTCAGGGTTGTGCTTCATGCTTACAAACAGCCACTGATAATAGTTGAACATCTCTGATACCAAAAATCAAATTTTACCTGGAAGAATTTCAGATAATGTTCATTAACAGAAGTATGGATAAAAAGAAGAGAGGGCATAACTCAAGAGTCAACTTTTGATTTGGTGTTTATTCTGAATTTTTCCTGGATCAAGAATTTTTGCCTGTATACACTAGTCAAAATGACAATGTAAACAGAATATAATTAAATGTGCTTCCCTTTCTTTTTTTATTAATTTGAAACAGAACACAAGCCTGATCAACACCAAGAAGAAGCTGGAGACAGACATTTCCCAGATCCAGGGAGAGATGGATGACATTGTCCAGGAAGCCCGCAATGCAGAGGAGAAGGCCAAGAAGGCCATCACTGATGTGAGCAGAGGGCAACACGGTCCTGGTCAAACTTGAATCCTGATGTGCTAGCTCAGCTCTCTCATCTGGTTTTGTTTTACTGCTCATCAGGCAGCCATGATGGCCGAGGAGCTGAAGAAGGAGCAGGACACCAGCGCCCACCTGGAGCGCATGAAGAAGAACCTGGAGCAGACTGTGAAGGACCTGCAGCATCGTCTGGACGAGGCTGAGCAGCTGGCTCTGAAGGGTGGGAAGAAGCAGATCCAGAAACTGGAGGCCAGGGTGGGTCCCCATCACTTCATTCAATTCCCAACCTGCTCATACAGCTACTTACAGCCAAAGTGCTAAAAGCCTTTGTTCTTTTCCAGGTGAGGGAACTTGAAAATGAGGTTGAAAGTGAACAGAAGCGCAACGTCGAGGCTGTCAAGGGTCTTCGCAAACATGAGAGGAGAGTGAAGGAACTCACTTACCAGGTGACCCGCCTTTCCGTATTTCTCAGGCCTGCTGCTCTCTCAAGAAAATAAAAATAATGAGTCGTTTTCAAATAACACTATTTGCTACCTCTTTCATTTCAGACTGAGGAGGATCGCAAGAACGTTCTTAGGCTGCAGGACTTGGTGGACAAATTACAAACAAAAGTTAAAGCTTATAAGAGACAAGCTGAAGAGGCTGTGAGTAGCTTCATAATGAGAGAGAAAAGTTCAGGAGAAGGCCTGAACTTTAGGCCTTTGTGGAGCCTGAAGTTTATAGAATTTAAGAGCCTTTCTTTAAGGCAAAAGAGTACAAAATTAGGTATGAAAATGAATATTTGGAATGAAAAAATTTTACCAGTAATTACTGGAGCCTTAGAGATTCAAGTGCATTTCTTCTGAGAACTCTTTAAGCAATTTTCCAGACATGTTAGTACAGAAATGTTTTTTGGTTACAACTCACTTCCCTATCTAGAACACTCCACCACTCCCAGCAATCTCCAGCACTCACAGGGGCTGTGCTAATGAGGGCTCTGAAGTCTAAGCTTTGTTCAATGACTTCACAATAAATCCATCAGAATATTTCTTTTTCATTTGGCTCCTTTCCCATCTTATCATCTTTCTCATCACAAACTTTCCTTAAGGTTCTCTGCACCCAATACTATCACCATGTCTACTTTTTAAAGATTCAGATTCCTGCTACTCTGATCTCCCTGTTGTCATTGTAGCATCTTAAGTTTGCCAGGAAGAGAATCAAGTGAGAGAGACCGAGCAGGGGGCATTGTGAGCCCACACGTTCAGAGGCAACTAGTGGGATGCCTTGCCCCCAAATAAGTACATGACCAAATAACAGAACATTTTGCTTTCTCATGTATGAATTAAATCCAGTAGCTGCTCCTAGTAACAAAGGCAGTAAGAATCAGAAAATGTCAAATTTTCTCGTTCTCTGAAATTTTTCTCAGGAGGAACAATCCAATGTCAACCTTGCCAAGTTTCGCAAGATCCAGCACGAGCTGGAGGAGGCCGAGGAACGGGCTGACATTGCTGAGTCCCAGGTCAACAAGCTGCGGGTGAAGAGCCGGGAGGTTCACACGAAAGTCATAAGTGAAGAGTAATCCATTCTTATGCTGAAAGGTGACGAAAGAAATGTGCAAAATGTGAAGTTCTTTGTCACTGTCACATGTCACTGTAACATCAAGGCAATAAAATCTGCAGAGAATTTTCCAATCTAAAAATACATGTCTCTCTTAATTACAAGTTCTGTAGTGCTATGAGAACTAATTCATTTCTTCAACGCTTGTGAAGCTCCTAACTGTGCAATCAGATGAGTGTGGTCAGTGAACCAATGTTAACAGAAGGCAAATGTTCTCTGAAGGAATACAAAGGTAGTTAGTGCACCCCCAAATGCATTCAACCAATTCTACTGAGAACCAAGTGTGTGTCTGTACAGAAATGGGTACCAGGGATATGACAGTCGTCCCTGCCTCTGAGGAGCTCAAGCCAGCAGGAGTGACAGCAATTCAAAAACAGCTCCTAGAAGATGAGTAGACAGTTTTCTGGTAAAAGAGAAACGGAATTGGTCATTCTAAGAAGAGAAAACAAGCATGAGATTTCAGAGTAGTTTGAGCACAGGCCCCAGCCAGAGAGGGAAGGCCTGCCTGTGAAGGGAACAGCCTCCTGTGTGGTGCTGAGGAATCAGGATATGCATGGACCTGGTGAGATTTCATGAGAAAGAGAGCTGACCCATCTCTGGCAGTAGCCCAGAGGATGGAGCTGAGAGGAAAGACCAGAGCCTAGAGACTGCTGAGGCTATGAAAATGATCCAGATTAGGGGTGACGGTGACAGCAACAAACGAGAATGCAGAACGCAAGCAGGCCTCCAATACTGGTCCAAGGAAAGGACTGGAAGAGCACTGAGGAGTAAATCAGTTTCACGGCCTTCAAACCTCGCAGTTAGCTTGTGATTATACATATTATTTCCTTTTGTGTGAAGTTCTCTTCCTCTGAACCCCTCCAAGAAAAGGGATAGAACCTTTTTTTTTTATTCTTATGTTAATCCCCATACATTACATCATTAGTTTTAGATGCAGTGTTCCATGATTCATTGTTTGTGCATAACACCCAGTGCTCCATACAGAATGTGCCCTCCTCAATACCCACCACCAGGCTAACCCATCCTCCCACCCCCCTCCCCTCTAGAACCCTCAG